AAAAAAAAAACTATGTACCTTAATCAAATTTAAGAAAATATATCTTTTTTACAGTATCATCAAAACTTTTTCACTCATCCTAACAAGCACCTGGCCTCTATCAAAGCGTTTTACTGTAAAAATTATCTTAAATACACAGATAACTTAAAAAATGACCCGTTCAGCTAACAAACACCGTTGATTCACCATCTAATCAGAGTGGTTGGACTAGCCTAAATCGTCTTCGCATTGCATTTATAAAAGGTTTGGCGTAACTGGAAACCGCAATAAAGTAAAATATGCTAAAGATAAGCGATGTTGCTGCCAACACAAATAGCCAATCAACTGCAGGCTCAATGTATTCACCTTAAAAAAAGCTCCAGTTACAGTTTGCTAAAGTATATTTTATTAAAAAGATCTGGACAATATTATCTGAAATTAAGTATTTTTTTGAACTCAGTTTCAGAAACAAAAAAACTGAAATAATAGTTTAACTATGATAAGCAAATTTTCAAGAGCTGCTCACACGAACAAATTAAGCTTTAAAGTTAATGCACACACTTCCAAATAAACATAATAAAAATTAAGCATGAGAAATTATTCAAAAGCACAAACGTACATAGTAGTGGTCCTCTTCTGTCGCCCTCTTCAAGGTTCACTGCGCGAATTCCTTCCAGATCAGTTCGATTTTCTAGAAAAACTCTAAAAGACTCAAGAGAAAATGGCGCCTCGTCCATTCTAGCTATGGGAATTCCGTTTATCCAAAGAATAATAGTGGGTGTAGCGACTATTCCATATCGAGTGTATAACCTGAAAACCAAAGTACCTTTATTTATCAAAACAACTCAAAGTTCAACACTGAACTGACTTGCTATGTTCTGAAGCATCAACTGCAACCACCCTTAGCCGTGGAAACATCCGCGGTAAAGCATTTAGAAAAGGAGCCATTTTTGCACTAAAGTAGCAGTCGGGAACATAAAATGCGGAAAGAGTACACTGCAGCAGTCCTTGACTTCTCAATTGGAATTCAATTTGCTTAAGCATCTGAACTGTTGATAATATTTCCAGCGTATTATTTGCGCGATATTCGGCTAAAAAACTACTACTAACTAAACAAAACAGTAAAGTATGCTAAAAATAAGATGTGGATAAGAAGCAGGAGTTACCAGTAGAGCAACGAATACGTTCGAAGACAACTGAAGAATCAAATGGTATATCAATGATACACATAGGTTTTACAGCTGGACACTGGGAGAGAAAAATGAAACGAAATGGATCTTCTGGATATTCACAGAACAGATCTGTAAGTGGTTCGTTCTAATGAAACGTTACTTTAAATTTTTAAGAAACCACTCAAAAAGGAAGTAAAGCATTAGTCAAAATCTAGTCAACAAGAACCTATGCGCTCACTGAAGTAGCTTAAATCGACTAGGAATTTTATTCTTGTGATTTAACAGAAATTAAATTTCAAAGTTGCACATAGTCCCGAGAGTAAACTGATTAACTATTTCAGATAGTGCCCTTCAACTTCAGTAACTAATAGCTACACACGTTTTATCAATCTGATATGGCTTTACCTCTCGGAACTGAAAGTGCAACTGTTGACAGACTCAAGAAAAAAAAACAAAGACGCTTTCGAGGGGTCTAATCAGGATTACTCTAATCCATCCCAACCACTACACTACCAAGTAAAAGGTTTCGAAAAAAAACAACTCATTCTTTATAATCTCTCCAACATAACTAATAAAAAACGTTCTCTCTAGAAGATTACTGCAGTTCAGTTATTAATTATATAATTTGTATTTACTCACATATGGAAGTCATATGACGAACAGACAAGCCCTTAACTCACTTTTTATTTTATAATGAAATAATTTTTTAAAATTCAACTAACAAAAACTGTATAAAATAGGAGAATATTAAATTGTAACTTGCCGTCTCTGAAAGCATCGGCTTGGAAATCAGTTTCATTAACGAAACTGGGGCCGGGTGGCTCATTAATACTTTCCATGCTACATAAGGTATTTAGATTGCAAAGTACCATCCATAGTAGTGTAATCCACTTTAAAGGAAGCATCAAAGTAAGCAACACCAGAAAGATCTGAAACGTTATCATACGACTTCAAAAAAGGCCACTTAAACGGGGTAATACAATGCTTTCCTAGAAAATGGTGTAAGAAATACTTGCAAATAAAACTCAACCAACTACTCGGCAATAAAAATATGAATATTACCAAACAAACATAAAAAAACTAAAATAGAAAAATATATTCCACTTTGACTTTGTGGGCACACAACTTCCTAAAAAACATCAATACTGCGCTAATATTTATTCATATCCTTCACTTTTTTATTCTTTAGGTCAGCCTTCACAACATTATCCTAATTCTCTAAAACCATTTTAAACAATCATCCTCGATGTCCAATACAACTTAATCCAGTTGAAAAAATTGTTTAAATCTATTACTTTATAATTATACCTTACGATTTTGCACTGTGTCAGTATAACTGAGTACCCGTAATCCAATTTTAACTTTCCCTTAAATATTCTCAAAAAAGAAGACCGTGCTTTAGACCAACTACCTTGGGCAGTGACAGCACCATATGCAGATGCCCTGTGACCACTAAAAACAGCGATTTCTACAAATCAAATAAACCACGCAAATAGCTTTATAAGTCGAGGTGCATACAAATTCACTGTCAAAAAATAGAGCCATTTGCTAGTCAGTCGGTTTGATCACCCAGACTACGAGCTTAAAACAATCTCAACGTAAAACCCTCAAGATCTCAAGACCTTTTAACCAAAAAAATAGGAAAGAAATTAACGCAATAGGTAGGAGATCATTGCGTCTATGCGATATCCAAATAGCTTGATCGAAATTCTGCGTAGCAGAAATATCACCTAAGAACGGCTCTTCCTAGTCGCTTAATCGGCAATAAACGCACTCAATAAACGCTTAACACCAACTACTAAATTACATGCTTAATTTCTAAACTCACAAATAAGGTGACCAAACACGCATTTAATAGCGGAAGCAACAGCAAAGCAATGATTTTCTCTAAATCCTAAGTCATTAATTTGGAGACCAAGGCCCCGGAAGACTAGTAAATCAATATTGTCCATAAATCAAAGCGGCTTCCTCGACTTTTATCTTTCACGGTTTGACATTTCCTTCCCTGATACACTTTACCTAATACTGCACATACATAAAAACTTACAAAATTCTTCGATATCTCAAAAAGTTATGACCATTCCAAAAAGCATGAAGGAAAGCTCAATGGAACCGACTCAACAAGATTTTAAAGCAGCCTTATAAAAAAAGGGAACTAAAACCAAAGAATCAACAATCAAGTCCACAATATTAAAAAAAAATTCTTTACCAAACAGTTCAAATTAGGCTCTGAACTTGAAAACTTGTAGTAGTTTTAGAAAAAACAACTTGCCTTTCCAGCGATTAAAACGTAGGAGTTCTTTTACAACGCATCTGGAAATGAGCCAAATTTTGTTCGCGCGGGAACCTGAATTCTATGCCACTGCTGCACGAAGGAAAATTAATATGCCTTACAATCCTAGGAAGTGTAACTTTCTTTCGACGGTTTCGACGGTCTAATTCAGTAAAACATTACGGCTGAAGCCTGACCGGCAATATGGTTTATTAGTCGACATTTATCAACAGGTCCAAGAATGGAAGTTCAGACTACTGTGCTATAAAAAAAGGTTAAGATCATTGAAATATAGAAGGACCTGATTACTGTAGATACTTTTGCCGGGATGGTACATTACCAGCGTAACCGTGAGTCTACGAAAGCTGTGCTTTTCCAGCAACGATTTTCAGCTAAAACAGTTTTGAATATATGAAGAGTGACTCTGCTGATAATAAAATAGCTGAAGGAATAACCATCAATAGCAAGCTTAACTACAATTGTTTAACGAATAATTTTTGCTCTCTAAATTAAAAAACAATTTTGAAGAAATAGTTTGAAGAGTTTAAACTGAACGCTCTAAACAGTGAAGCTTTTTACAGCAAAACTACTGGTTATTCGATGGTGTAACAACTGGGCCATATCGGCAGACGGCTAACAAGCATTCAATTCACAACCCTCTGGCCGATATATTGAAAATCATACAGTATAAATCAATCGCATTATGCTTCTTTTTTCTTGCTACTGCGGACTTATCAGATAACTGGGCAGGCAACATCAAACCTGTATTGTAAAATATGCTGTAAATGAAAGAAGAAATAGCATTTAACTGAATCATACGAAAGCAAAAATAATATTCAGATAAATTGTTATATTAAAGCTTTTTTTAATTCTTTTTTCAACCTTTTGTTATCGGTCTTTCTTGAATAAAATTATGGTGTTATCCATGCAGACTGCGAGAAAACAATCATTGTTAAGTGCTGAAGGACCGGACCGTACAACTTTTTTAATGTGGATCTGCAGTTGTTCAAAAAAAGAAAAAAAAAACACATGAGTACGAGAGGTTTCTACACCGGAATCATTTTTTCTTGCTCCTTCAGATGACCAAGATTGGAAAGTTCACTAATATTTAAAAATAAACAGCAATATTCAGCTGTGCTGCGTGAAAGGAGTTATCTTGAACTTTACTTGCCAAGTTTCATATTTGTGATGGATGTAACCTTTACTCTTAATATGAAATCCTCACGATCGTTCAAAAGTTCAAAACATCTGCAGATCCAGAAACTAACATCATTTTCAGGAGCTTCCATCAGTAGTTACAGCTTGGTACCAAACTTCTTTACTTTTTCATTACAGTTCCTTCAATTTCAGGTAAATTGTTGAACGCCTCTCTACTGCCTATCTCCTAGGATCTTTCAGTTCATGTGCGGTTATTTCAGCGTTTCGTTTCTCGTGATTTACTGATATTCGAAAATCTAGAATTTAGGAGCATCTGTCTGATTTGAAAACTAAAAATTATGTGCTGCCGTTGGTGTTAGGCTTACCTGGTTACGTTGATCCCTTTACTCGATTTACAGAACAACAGCTGTTATCTTAGCAAAGTTTTAATTTCTAACAAAGCCAAAATTATCAACAACTTTAATTAGATTTTTTGGACCCCCTTTTTGAGCACTCCACAAAGAAAAGTAAATCCGATGGTATCTTTAGAGTAATGGTAAAGAATGGACAAGATTATTTGCAATTACAGCAACTTATTTCTATTTTCTGTTTATAATTTATGTTTCTCAGATTCGGTGAGAGAATTTTTTTGTTATACTTCTATTACAACAAGGTTTCAGCATGCTAAAGTAATAAACGTTCTTCTCCGTACTAAGTTTAAAGTAATTATAATCAAAATTAAATATAATCAAGATTATCTAAGCCGAACTTCATCCGTGGATTTCACAGCGGTCAAGAGCAGGTGTTGAACAAAAACCGATACCGATACAGCGTTCGGTTTTGGTATATTTGCTTTCCTTGGCAGCTTACCAGTTGGAGCAAAGCGCACAGTATCGCAGCACTAACACTTGTCTTGCTGGTGTCCCACAGCATTATCACTGTGCTTATATGCGATGCTCCATTTCTAACCCGTCTCAAAAATTTTCTTGGCGGTAGATTGAAGGAACTGGTAATGCGGTTCGATGGTGGTTTATCTCGACTTAAATGCAGTATATGGCCATTTTACCTAGTTGGCTTCTAAAGGTTGTGGTTTTTAATAGCATCATTCTGTTCGTTAAAAATTACGGCCGTTTAACGGTTGCTAAAACATATTGATTTTCAATGGCCTTGCTAAAACATATGCCAGTATATATGTAAGCGGCTAATTCCTTTTATTGACATTTTTCTTATTTTATCTGTTAGGACATCTTTATTTTGACCAGAATCCGTTTTTTTTTTTTCATTTTCGAGTACTACCAAGTGTGAGCGTAAGTTGTTTGAGGTCAATAGGTATGGTGAACAGTTTAGCGTTTTCCGGAAATCTTGCATTTGCAAAAGCAGGTAGGTTATTTTTGGCACTTGGCTAATTGATTTTTTTCTCTCATTTTTCGGTTTAGGTATATTAATTGTAGAAAATTTACCTAGTTACGTTTTCCATATTTTAATGCCCCTAAAATATGTTGAAATCTGATTTAGGCGTCGATATTCTTTATTATAGTTTCACTTCTGCGAAGATCACTTCACTTGCCTTCCATCTATACACTTTTTGTTTTTTAAATGGCAAGTGTCATGCCGTTTCTTTATTCGAGCCATCCAACACCCTACGTAACTGCTTACTGTGCTGCATCGGACACTGATAAGATTCATTTTCATCCATATTTTTCATGATTTTCAAATTATGCACTTTCTATATTTCACAATAGTCATGAATTTCTTCCCATTACTTGCCTTAGCATTCAGCACTGCAGCAGATATTTCTCGCGAGTGTGCCGGACGACCGGTTGACGCCACCACAGTAGTTTGGCACTTAAAGTTCTGAGCTATGACAGCCCAGCAGTATACTGCTTCCCGACTTGTCGAAGTTATTTGGAACGTTGCATCTACAAAGACTCTAGCATTCATCCTCTTTGTGTTCCTCTCAAGCCTCGCCACTTTTATATTGTTCAATTTCCGTTTTTCCTCTTTAGTCATCAAATCCGCTTTTTTTCTGAAGCGGATTAAGCAATGAAATTAGACGTCTTTTGTGAGAAATCAATGTTACTTCATTATTCCTATTCTAATTTTATTCCAAATTTCTTTCCTATTTAAGTACTTGCTACTTATTTATTATGCTACCACTACTGTCATATTTTTTCCTTGACAAAGAACCAAATTTTTTGGGCTTGTCATTTCAAGTTTTTTCGCGTACTAACCACTGCTTCCTTAGATTACATTAAGTTAAAATAACAGTTATCGCGGAGACTTAACAAAGTTATTAAAGCACCAAGGCAGTCATATATATGCAAAAAACAGCGGTATTCTCACTTTTTTGCCTAAATCCCAACAGTTTTTTTCTGTTCCCTTTCCTTCCTTCGTTCCAGTCTTTAGCCAAGTATTCATTACTTCCGCTGTCCTCTTCAATATCCCCTTATATAACAAGAAACTTTACTTCTTGAATCCTCCTCAAAGACCGTTTTCCCTCCTTTTCTCCGCTATTTCACTGTTCACCTTATATTTCTTTTAATATGTGTCTGAACTACTGCTCGCATAGATTACTGTAACGAAAAAAGCCATAGCCGCCGTAATTC